CAAAATTAATTAAAAACCTAAAAAAAAAAAAAAAAAGACAAGACAAATGTTGATCATTAATAGGCTAACCCAAGAGTTTCTGGACTTTTCTACCATAAAACAAGCTACTTTTTAGCTTTAACCCACTCCAAGAGTTTTATATTTGGAACTGCAAAGCCCTTTCACCTGGTCATAGTATCACTGCCCTCTGTGTCAGCTAAATATAGAGTACCGTGGAGAGATCTAAAGCACAGCGTGGACATAGTAAAAGGGAGAATTACAGTGGTTGGTGCCACTTAACTGATGGCTCCTCCCACATCGGAACAGCTCAGGTAGGGAGTAGTCATTATAGCTGCCTTTACCTTCTAGAGGTGGGACAAAGTAAAAAAAAAGCTAATAAATATTAAAAACATTTAAGATACTAGACGACTGCTGAGCATCCTACCCGGAGAGACTTGTGTAGCTCTTGCAACTGAGAGGTCCTGGTTGTCTCAGGAATCTCTTTATGGAGACGGGCCTCTTCCAAGCGTTTCATTGCCCTATGACACAGAAACATTACTACCATGAACAAACAAGGCTGTAAACAAGGGTTTGTACATATACCTCTACCAGTTTATTGATTTTTCTTAAAAAGAATTATTTATTTAATTTTATCTACCATTATAATTATAATAATTATTATTATTTTCAAATTTACTACAGGGTATGTGAACTCTCCAGAGAGAGAGAAAGTGAGAAACCAAGCTGCCAGGTCCAAGATTCAAGCTGTAGCCAGCCATGTGGGAGTCCAGCATCTTAACCACCGCACCACCTGCTAGCACTGATCATAATTTCACCATTGTCATAACAAAGCAGATCCTTAGGCCCCAGAGGAAACAAGAAAAACAGACTCCTTTCTTCTTCTAGAGGCTCTTCTTACCTAGGCAGTGAATAATTAGCAATCCACAGTCTAGCCACCTTCAGGCTGTTTGGTCCTTCGTGGTACCAAGTTTGCTGATACTGAAATGCAAATTAAGAATAGAAGTGTTAATTCTGAAGCATTTCTGTCTCTCCCATAGCTGTCGACTTCCTATCAAGTGCTCAGAGAGAATCCGTGAGTGAGTTCGGTGATAGGATGAAGTAGGTATACTTAATGAAGTAGGTGCTACTTGATTCCTTTCTATGATCTCTTACTAGGTAAGTTAAGTTACACCAGAAAGGCTATGGTGCTTTCCTAAATAGAAAACTCACTTAACACAGGAGTCACTAGGCATTGCCAGCAACGATTCCTGAAAGGTAGAATCTTTACACATCCCCCCATCCTAGCTAAAGCAAATCGCTGGAAAGAGAAAACGAGAGAATTATGCCCTCATTTCCTTCATGCTGACACGGTGAAGCCACAGACATATTTTACCTCTTCTTTGGACTTCTTGGACTTCTCATCATCTTTTTTAGTCTTTTTTAGGGCATCAGTACCAACTACTGAGAGGATATTTCTTAACCTGTAAAAAGAAAATTAGAATGTAAATACAATTGAGAATTATAAAAAAATAAAACGAAAGAAAAAGAAAAAAAAGACATGTAAGAAGGGAGCAAGCCTATACTGTTCTCTCAGCATTCAAATCCCTAGCAACCTATGAGTCAAAATTAGGGAGGGAAGGAAGAATACTAGCACCTGCTTTACAATTTAGAAAGAAAAAGTACTGGAGTAAAAATTGGTCTAAGACTCAGATTACAGGCTTAAATTATATAAACACAACTGAGTTAGATATTGGTAACTTCAGACACTGTGTTGAAAGGTTCAGCTCTGGGAACCAGCAGTTAGCGTAATGGCTATGTCACTGGACTCCCACGTAGTCGACTGCGGTTCGCGTCCTGGACCTGGTGGCTCAAAACTCACGCCAGGTGCATGTGCATGCGTGCCCAAGATCCCGAGAGGAGAATGGAGGAGAAGGGATTGTGGCGTGACCATCCCCCCGGGGGGTGATTTCTCGCTTTCTGTCTCTATGTCTCTCTCTGTCTGGCAAGCGCACGCGCCCTATAGCGAAAATCTCTCCAAAAAAAAAGAAAAGAAAAAAAGAAAGGAAGGTTCAGCTCTAAGATCAACTGACATTTGGGAAGAACTCTGGGATTAATGCAGTAAATAGTTAGAAAGGGCACCTTTCTCTTCTTTCAGCAGGGCCCTCTCCAAAAAGTGTGATGGGTTCCCCCAAGGCTCTAAGACAAGCCTTGACCTCTGAGTCATCCGTGGAAACATTGATTTGCCGGGCTCGCTTCCTTCTCTCAAATTCAGCCAATACTTCTGCCTGTCGTTCACTGATGTGCTCTTCAATTTCAAACACTTCTCCTGAAAAAAAAAAAAGGCAACAGCATAATTGCTAGCTCTTCAATGGGGGAAAGCCTCTAGGGAAAGCAACTACTTAATCTATTACACATTTTATAGACATAATTTACTGTTCTCAGTTTATTAAATTATGCCAAACACATAAACCTAAATAATACATCATTAAAAGGCAGGAAATGATTCAAGCCTCCTCTTGTTTCATTTGACAAGTTTAAACTATATAAACGCACATCTTAGATGAGAATGGAAAAGTGACAGTACAGAGAACTTCGTCAGCAAATTAGTTAACTAAGCCTTTTATCCAAAGGAGAAAAAAGTGTATTTGACATCTAAAAAATTTTCCTCATTTTTTTCAACTGCTAAACCAATTCTCTAAAATAGCCCCGATTTAGGGACATTTTCAATTTAACTAATAAAGTGGAAATGATTACCAAGAAAATGAGATTATTATGGTCATAAGACCTTTTGGATAATCTTGCAACTAGTTTTTTTTTTTTTTAAGAATTATTTTATTTAACTTTATTTATTTATTTAAATAAATAAGAGAAGGACAGAGTGAGAAAGAGAGAGGGAAAGTGAAAAAGCAAGCCACCAGGTCTGGGACTTGAACCATGATCAGCCATGTGGGAGTCCAGCACCCTTAACCACCATACCACCTGCTGGTCCCTAATCTTACAACTAGTTTTAAAACCCATACTTGGGATTAGCAGATGGTGTAATGGTTATGTTATGTTGCTAGACTCCACACAGTCAACCACTTTTGAGTCCTGGACCTGGTAACTTAAAACTCATGCTGTGCATATGTGGGTGTGTGTGTGTGTGTGTGTGTGTCCAAGATCCTGAGAGGAGAACTGAAGTGAGTGACTGCAGAGTGGCCATCTTGGGGGGTGGGTAGAGGTAGATTTCTCACTCTCTGTCTCTCTGCGCATGTCCTATAACAAAAATCTCTCAACCCTCCCATACCTAATACAAGCATTTGGATGAAAAATGATAGGTACAGTAGTAATGTAGTTATATCTAAAAACAGCATAAAAGGTTTACAAAATCACTAAATTATATGTGTATAGAAAAGAAAACATAATCAATGAGAAACCTGATGGAAGTCCTTTCTACAGAGGAGTCATCTTATATTCTTTTGTATTGTTTGAATATCTAATGATTAAAAAGTATAGTGGACTTCTTGCTACTAATATGAAAAGGAATCAACAGTCTATAGGGTGAAAAATGCAGGTTACAAAACAACTTGATCATACCTTTATTAAAAAAATGACACATTCTTATGTCTATATTAAAATTCTCAGAAAAAATAAATACCTTTTCAATAAAGTATACAAGATTCCCAACTTCAAACATTCATATCTTGCTTGATCTTTCAAAATAAAAATAGAAAGTGCTTTTATAATTAAAAAAAGTTATTTCAGTAAAAAAAATAAGTGGAAAACTAAAGGAGACAATACTATGAACCATCTAGCTCTGAACAAATCCAAGAAATATGTTCATCTCCAGAAGACAAATAGAATCAATTTGAATCCAAATGTACACTGAATAAATGTCTGTAAAATTACTTATTATTCACAGCAGAAAAACTATAAAAGACTGCAAAATAAAGGCCTCTGGATGGTGCCAGATAGTAAGTGAACTACAGTCTTACGTATGCAAGTTTAAGAATTATAATGTTTTGTATTATAAAAACATTAATTCTGGGCCAGCAGGTGGCATAGTGGTTAAGGTGTTAAAATTCCCACGTGGGCAACCGCAGTTTGAGTCCTGGACCTGGAGGCTTGAAAATCATGCCAGACGTGTGTGTGTGTGTGTGTGTGTGTGTGTGTGTGTGTGTATTCCAAATCCCAGAAGGCACTCGGGTATAGCCATAGCCATCCCCCTGGGAGGTGATTTCTCACTTTCTTTGTCTCTGGAGAGCACACATGCTCTATGGCAAAAACCATAAAAAGAAAAATAATTATTTCTTAAGTTTATGAAGGCATTTGTTACAGAAAATGGAAACAACAAAGGTGAGGTTGAAATTGCAATCTGTATCTTACCAGAGGTTATATTAATATTTCCTGCTTCAATTCCTGCTTTAAGTCCTTCTTTCCCCAAAATCCCAGACTCTCCCTTGGCCAGCCGCTCTCTCTCCTTCTCTTCCAAACTTCCATAATAGATGTGTGGTTTCTTCACAAGAGGAGCAACTAAGTCATCAGGTGCTTTAGTTTTGGTTGCCTGCTAATGCAAAGACCTGGATTAGCCTAAAGTTTTATTTTGGCAATTTACTGGGCTTACCCAAAGGATGAAGGCCATCTTGAGCTTCAATTCTATTTTCTCCCCAAACAAAAGGACAGACTGGATTCCAGTTACAATGTTGATCACCGATTGTCGGTGGGAGGGTATTTCAGTTCTTCAGTCACTTAAGTTTGGCAGACAGGAAAATACGTCAATTTCTCTTAGTGAGTTTCTATCAAAGGTCTGCTTTGGAACAGGTTTCCTTCACTTTATTAGGAGTGCAGTCTCTTCTTGGGTTTTTATATTGATATTCCAGGGCTATTGCTAATTTCTGAAGGAACACCAAGGATAACTGCAATAACCAACTTGGTGTTCGGGGGAACAAGTTACAACGCCAGGGGTCAATACATTCCAAACTTTTCAAGTGTGGGGCAGTAGGAGTTAGGAGGCCTCATTACAATGATAAGGTCTGACAATGATAATAAATCTTGGCCGAGACACTCTCATTTCAGAGCATCGTTTTTGGACCAGTCGCCAGAGCTGTTCACCGTTCGGGGCTGTAGTGAGAGAGTGCAAATGAGCTCCAGGACACGAAGGTGCTCAGGGATCAGGAAGACGCTGCTCGGCTCCCCTGGACACGGCCGAGCCCCGCAGCCCTCCGCCGCCTTAGCCCGATCCTACCGGGCTTCCCGCAGGGACCCCACCCTCCTCGCGCTCCCTGCCAGACACAGCGGAGATCCCCAGCTCGGTACCGTGGAGGACGCTCGTGACGAAGCCATGCCGGGCTCGGGAGCGGCGGAACCACAGCGATAACAGAGCGGTGCTTTTCCAGTCAGTCCACCGCGCGCGCCCAGCAGAGCGGAACTACGTCACCGACCGGAAGTGGGCCGAAAGCCGTCGCCTCACTCTAGGCGGCGCAGAGCATGACGGGAGTCGTAGTAGGGGGAAATCTGGGCTTGTGAAGGGCCATGACACGTAGAACCTGCAAGAAAAGCTCGCGGAAAACGAGGTTCTGCGAGGAGGGAGGCTCTGCGCAGTCTGCGCGGTCTCCAGCTCCATCCCTAGCTTCTTGATCCAGTCTTCCTGTTGATTTTCTCTTCTCAAAAGAATTTACCTTTGCTTGCTGTCCCTTGATCTCAAACATTTCTTTTTTTAAACAAAGCATTCCTTTATTATACATGGAAGTCAAAGTTACATGGTCACTGTAGAAATTACATAAGTCCAAAAATTTCAAAGAAAAACTGTATAATTATCCATAATCATTAAAACAACCACAATTAGGGTTTGGTAAATTTCCTTCACTTTAACATAATTGAAAATATACCAGGTAGTAGGGGGAAATCTGGGCTTGTGAAGGGCCATGACACGTAGAACCTGCAAGAAAAGCTCGCGGAAAACGAGGTTCTGCGAGGAGGGAGGCTCTGCGCAGTCTGCGCGGTGTATTCCAGTGGCTTAGCGGTAGATCCGTGGGGGGAGCCGACGTCCCGGAAAGGGACTGAACGGGGTGCACACAGGTAGGTGCCTGCAGTCTCGCGGCTTGGGGCTGAACCCCGGCGAATCGAGGGCTTCCGGGGCCTGCCTGGTTTGCGGGAGGCTTTACGTCGTCCTGGAGCGGAGACTCATGTTGCCATGGAAACCGTCGTCTGAGAACTGGCAGTGCCACCCTGAAAATGCGGGAGGTCTGTCCTTATCCGCGGTCCGGCAGTCCTCCCAGGGGCTCCCTCTGAGCTGGCTGAATTTGCCAGGGATTTAGGCAGTGGCGAGAAATTAAGCTCGAAGAGCCTGCCAACGCCACAGTAAAATAAAGGGCGAGCGGAAGAGCTACAGCCTGATATTGCTCATTTTGTTACGTTGTCTTCAGCCCAGAATTTGTATGATGAGAGTGAGATGATGGATGCAAGGCGTCAGGTAAACTGCATGCGAGCAGCCCTGCACGGCTCTGCCCCGTCGGGTGCTGGGGCATCCGCAATGAAAACGTGGCTTTTACTCCCAGGTGGGGAGTGGGAGAGTTTTGAAATACTGTGGTTTTTGAGCTGGACAGGCCCTCTCCCCACTCCTTCCCTCACCCCCCCCATTACTATAACAACACTGTTATTGAGCGTTAATTAAATGCCAAGTTATTTTACAGGAACTTGTTTTGCATTGAGCCATCCAAAACATACAAAAGTACAAATACAGGTGAGGAAACTAAGGTCTAGTGAGAGACGAAACGAATTGTTCAAGATCATTGGCGTAATAGGATGAGAACCTCTGCCCTTTCTCCTCCAGAGCCAGCATTTTTAACCATTCCTTTCTATTTAGAAGAATATCTGGAAGATGATCGCATGTAATTTAATACGAAGCAATTTGAAATGTAATGGACTAGTAAAAAGTGCATACAGGGGCTCAGCAGGTGGCATGGTGGTTAGGGCTCTGGATCTGCTGGCTTGCTTTCTCACTTTGTCTCTGGTGGGCACATGTGCCATATAGCAAATATAAAAATAATAATAGTAAGTAAAATAAATCATTCTTTTTAAAACAGTGCACACACAAGCGATACACCCTAGAGATCCCCTTTTTTCCTACTTCTCAAGCTCCTTGGTAAGGCACCTTGCATTTTTCAGGTCCATCGAGTAGAGTTAGGGGACCTGAACTGCTGTTGGCCATGTGGCTTCCAGCACCATTGTTCACTGTGGGATAGTAGCCTAGTGGCCATGTATTATGTTGATAACATTATGTCTATGTGTCCCAAGCTTCACTGGGGAAGGAAATATTTCATTTGTGTACTAAACAGCTCCTGGTTTATTCTAGGGACATGTAATAATTATTTCATTTTATTTTTTTGGAACGGTTTTTACTATAGGGCATATGTGCTCGCCAGAAAGACAGAAAGAGACAGACAGAAAGCAAGAAATCACCCCCAAGGGGTGATGGCCACGCTGCGGTCCCTTCTCCTTCATTCTCCTCTCGAGATCTTGGGCACACATGCACATGCACCTGGCATGAGTTAAAGCCACCGGGTCTTGGACTTGAACCATGGTCAACTACATGGGAGTCCAGAGACATAGCCATTATGCCAACTGCTGGTCCCCTGTAATAATAACTTATATTCTGTACTCACTTTACCAGGGCTTTCATTTGCATTATTCTCATTTAATCTGCACCATATTGATCTATATATAATTTTTGAGGAGCCAACATTATAAACCAAATGGAATATCTTGATTCCACTTTTTTTTAATCTTAAAGCAGGTTTTTTATGTTAAAGTAAGGTAAAGAATGGGAATGGTAATATCTAAAACGATGATCAAGGAAAGTGCTTTACTTTTTTAAAAATTTATTTTATTTATGATAGCACATTCATGAGAAAGAGAGAAAATCACCCTCAACAGGGTCCTGTCATGTGATTCCCGTTCCCATGGCCCCACAGCTTATCAAGACCTTGGGTGTGTGCACATACGTACAGCATTCGGTGTGTTTTCAGGCCAGCTCTGGGATCCAAAGCCCTGGTCCACCATGTGGCTTCCAGCACTGTAGCTACTGAACTGCATGGATGTTTACTGTTTATTGTAGATATTCTCTACCAGATGCTGTGGAGAATATGTAACAATGATGCCACCAACAGATGTTAAAGTCGATTGGAGTTTTTCTTAAAAAAATGGTTTTGTTAACACAGTATTGCTTTGGGTTTTCAGACTGAGTAATGTTTCCTTGAGCCTCTTGTGCATGTGTTCTCTCGGCCTGCCCTTCAGAAGTCAACTAAGATGTCATTTTCTCAGAAAGTCTTGCCTCATATGCCTGCTCACCGCACACTCAGCCCAGGCTGGATTAGTAGTCTGAGTAATGTCATCGCTTTACCCTCATCAGTGTTCTTACTACACTGTATGACAATTTTCTTTGTCTCTTTTCCCCACAGGTTGTGACTGTACTGATTAACTCTGTAGCTGGAACAAGAAGTGTTTGTTTAATGAATGACTTATCCATTTAGGACTTACTTAGACCCTGAGGATAATCCTGTGAATTGGTAAGTTAGAGGGAGTTTTTCTGAGATTTAGCAAACTGATTTAGTGTTTAGGAGTGATCACAAATCTCTGATAATTCTCATGTAGAACAGATTAATGGTTTAACTACCTTCCCCCTAAGTATACTGAATTGAGATGTAATAATTAACTTTATTCTTTTCTCTTAAACTTTGTTCTTCTAGGTACACTGTCTCTCTCTCTCTCTTTTTTTTTTTTTTAGAATTTCATTTTTTTTTTTTTTTTTAATTTGACCAGAGAGAGACAGAGAGGGAAAGTGAGAAAGTGAGTCGCCAGGTCCAGGACTCAAACTGCAGTTGACCAGTGTGAGTCCAGCACCTAAACCACCATGTCACTTTCTAGACTGTTTCTTTGAATAGGACTAGATCATGAAATTAAGTTGATTGTTGCCGGGACCAGCAGATGACGTAATGGTTATGTAACTAGGTTCCCATTTAGTCCACCAATTTGAGTCCCAGACCTGGCAGCTTAAAACTTACACTGGCCAAAATCCTGAGAGGAGAATGGAGGAGAAGGGATTGCAATGTGGCCATTCTCCCTGGGAGGTGATTTCTTGTTTTCTGTCTCTCTGTCTCTCTCTGTGTCTGCATAAGTGTAGGTGACCCATAACAAACAAACCAAAAAATCTCTCTTTAAAAAAAAAAAATTGGAGGCCAGCAGGTAGTGCGGTGGTTAAGGGTGCTGGACTCCCACATGATCGACTGCGGTTCAGTCCCACACCTGGTGGCTTGCTTTCTCACTTTTCCTCTCTCTCACTGGTCAAATCAAAATAAATAAATGAATAAAGTTAAGTAAAAATAATTCTTTAAAAAAAATTGATTGTTACCTAGAACTTTCTTATAGGCAACTTGCTATTTTAAGTTTCGTTTTTTTATTTGTTTGTTTTTAGATTTGTTCTTTGATTAATTGCCAGAGGGCATGGACACTTACCAGAGAAAGAGAGGGAGAGAAGGCATCCCTTTCAAATTCTGTCAGGATTTGGGGCATGTATGCACATGTGTGACCGGTCGTATTTCAAGCACTCAGGCTGGAATATTAACCATGTTCAACTGTGGCAGATCCAGCTCCCTTAACCACTAAACCATGGTGCTAGCCACTATTTTAAGTTCTTACCCAGAGTTTTTTGGAATTACAGAGTTGTGGACCTTCATCATTCACCAAAAATGCAATAATCACACACCTAAAGACTTACAAGTCTGTGTGAATCCAAACCGTAATTCTGCACTTCACTTTAGTGTGCATGGTTACGAATTGATTTTTTATTTATAGCTGAAACTTAACCAACTCTTTTTCTCCTCTGTCATTTTTAACAGCTAATAGTTTGTTGGGTCTGACCCTTAGTATTGATTTCAGCATGTTGCGACGAAAACCCACGCGACTAGAGCTAAAACTTGATGACATTGAAGAATTTGAGAGCATTCGAAAGGATCTGGAGGTAAGAATACAACTTTCAAACCCTTAGGAATGTTTAAACAATAACTCTTAATCGCTGAACTCCACGCTCTTATAGGAAGAGCTTATTTGAAATCTCTCGTTCAGATGCTTTACAGGCATTTCAAACTTAAGGCATCAGTTTCCTGTGGCCGATATAGCAAGGTACTATAGACCCAGTGGCTCAAGACGATGGATGTGTATTCTGTAGTTGCCACTGGGCTGAGGTCAGGGTGTCAGCAGGGCCATGCTGCTCTCTGGAGGCTCTACGGGAGAATTCGTCTCCTAGCTGTTCTAGCTCCTGGTGGCTGTTGGCATTCCTTGACTTGTAGCTGCATCACTCCAGTCTGTCTTCGTGGTCATGTTGTGTTTTTTTCTCCTGTGAAATTTCCCTCTGCCTCTCTCTTACAAGGACCCCTGTGAGTTTACCTGGATAATCCAGGATAACCTCCCATCTCAAGATCATTAATTTAATCATCATCTATAGAGACCTCTTTTCCATATATGAAAACATTGCTAGTTTCCAGGAATTAGGACTTGATTGCTTTGGGGACTGTTATTCAGCCCTCTGTACTTAAAATGTTAAAAGAAAACAACAAAAATATCTAATTTTCCCCCCAAACTAATCATTTCCATCTTTGTACCTAGCTAGTTACTCAGGACAGAAATCTAGTAAACATTCATTTTTTTTTTTTTTTTTTTAAGAGTTGTTTTACTTAATTTTATTCACCATTATCGTTTTTTTCAATTTGACTACAGAGCAACAGAGAGAAACAGAGAGAGAGAGGGAAAGCGGGAAATCAAGCCACCAAGTCCAGGACTTGAACCACAAGTGGCCATGTGGGAGTCCAGCACCTTAACCACCATGCCACCTGCCGGCCCCCCAGTATTCTTGAGTCCTTCCTTTCCCTCACTCTTTATATTCAGCTTGTCCATAAACCCTGATTCTACCAGAATCTATCTACTTCCATAATCCTTTATATCTCATGAAAAGGTATTTCTCTACCCATACTTTTTCATCACTAGTGTTATAGTCCTACTCCAAGTAAGTATTGCTCCCTGTCCAATTGTAGTAGCATCTTAAATGGTCTTTCTCCTTCCATTTGTTTTATTTTGTTTTGTTTTGCTTTGTTTAGAGGTTTTTGCCTAAGGGCATGTGTGCTCACCAGAGGCAGGGGTGGGGGTGGGAAGACAGAGAGAAAGTGAGAAATCACCCCCCAGAGGGGGTGGCCATGCCACAATCTCTTCTCCTCCATTCTTCTTCTGGGATCTTGGGTATGTATACACAGGTGCCTGATGTGATTTTCAAGTCAACCAGGTCTGGGACTCAAACCATAATTGGCCATGGGTGAGTCCAGTGACAGAGCCACCATGCCAACTGCTGGTCCTCTTCTTCCTTTTTTTTTTTTTTTTTGTGGAGTGCTAGACATCACACCCTTTTTCTAATTTTAATTTTTTTTATTATTACTATTTTTAATTTGATGAGAGAGAGAGAGACCACCAGGTCCAGGACTTGAACCACAAGTGGCCATGTGGGAGTCCAGTGCCTTAACCACTACACCACCTGCCAGACCCCCTCTACTTCCATTTTTATTGCATCAGTCCACCAGCCCATTCTCTATAAGGTATCCAGAATAATCTCTCTCTCTCTCTCTTTTTTTAATTTGCTATAGAGTGTGTGTGCTTGTTGAAGTGAGACAGAGAAAGAGGCTGAGAGTCCAAGCTACAATCTTTTCTCCTCTATTTCTCCTCCTCGGGTTTTGGACAGACATGCACATGTGCCAGCATGTTTTTCAAACCACTGGATCTAGGACTTGAACCATGTAGTTGGCCATGTGGGATCCTGCCCCCTTAACCACCATGCCACTGGCTGTGCTTAGAATAATCTTTAATAATCTTTAATAATCTTTTTGATCATGGGCCAGCTCCTTAGTGCAGCAGTAATGCACTGCTCAAGAGAAGCAAGATCCCACAGAGCAGTTGCGGTTCAGATCCCCAGCCAGTCACCTTGAAATACACCAGGCATACCCATGAGTGCCCAAAATCTGATAGGCTAGAAGACTTGAGGAAAAAGATTGTGGTATGAACAGACCCTATGGGGACTGCTACCCCTCTCTCTTTCTCACTGTCATGTACGCGTGCATGTCCTTAATTGTGAGTAAAGAAAAAGATTCTGATCATGTTATTTCTGTTTAAAACTCCTTAATATTAGGTTTTGGGGAAAGTCATGACATACTTTTCCATGTAGAAATGCGTCATGACTTTTCTGACAACCCAACAATTTCCTGAACTTAGAATAAAATCTGGATTCCTTACCATGGCCTATAATACATTGCACGTTCTGGCCCCTTCTACTTTTACGTAGTGTCATTCTCTTGCCTTTTGTACCTCAGCCACACTGGTGTTCTTTCTCTTCCTTGAACATGCCAACCTGCTTACCGCTTCCTTGGCCTTTGCACGAATGATTTCCCTGGGCCCTGTGTGTGCCCTGTTTCTTCCAGTCTCAGTTTAAATGTCAGCTCCTCAGGCTGAGAAGCCTTTCACCCTTTCCAGGTTAAGTGTGTCATCCCTACCTGTAGGGGGCAGCCAATGTGAGCAAACCCATGCTGTCTCCATCTCGTTAGGCTCTCACAAAGCACCATATTATTGTTTTCACGTCATTTACTATAATTCTCAATTGTTTACTGTGAAATAATTTACACTGGGCACTGTGACTGCAGAAATTGTGAGCATCTTCACCATTGAGTTCCCAATATCTTGCACATAAGTAGGAGCCCAGTATGTTTTTTGGTTTTTGTTTTAGTTTTTGCTGTAGGAGGCATGCACTCTCTGGAGAGAGACAGAGATAGAGGGAGAGAGAAAGTGAGAAGTCACCGCTCAGGGAGATGGCCACCCTGTAGTCCCTTTTCCATTCTCTTCTTAGAATTTTGAGCATTCACACACATACCTGGTACATTCTCCAGCTGCCTGGTCCAGGACCCAACCATGTAGTTGACCATATGGGATCCAGCACCTTAACCTCCATGCCACCTACTGGCCTCCCAATATGTTTTTTTTTTCCTAAGAGGTTTTTGCCCTAGGGTGCGTGCACTCTAGGAGAGACAGCGACAGAGGGAAAGCGAGAAATCACCCGCCAGGGCGGTTACCACGATGTAATCCCTTTTCCTGGGCTCTTGGGCACACATGCATATGCGCCCAGCATGATTTTCAAGCCAGTAGGTCTGCGACTTGAGCTCTGGTCAGCTATGTGGGTGTCCAGTGATGTAACCACTATGCCATCTGCTGCTCCCTCCCCCCCAACATTTTCAAGTGTAGTCATACCATACTGTATTAAAGGACTTTTCTTTTAAAAAAAGAAAAATTAATAATAGTTTTTAAAAATTATCATTAGCTTTCATCTCCGTGTCCATACATACGGTGTGTCCTCTGCCTGAAATGCCATCTCCCTTTTTTTTTTTTAAAGTATTACTTATTTTAATTTTATTTATTCATTCATTTATTTTAATTTGACCTGAGAGAGGAAGAGAAGGAAAGTGAGAAAGTAAGCCACCAGGTCCAGGACTTGAGCCATGTTCAGCCATGTGGGAGTGTCCAGCACTTTAACCACCATGTCACCTGCTGGCCCCTTCCACCTCCCTTTCTTTGCCAGGTTAACTGCTACTTGTCTTTTCACTCGGCTCCTTCCAGCCTCAGCTGGGTTAGGCATAGCCTCCTTCCCCTCTGCTGACTTCTCATAGGTACTATCGTTCTCTCTTGTAATTGTCTGTTTTTCCCTACTGGGCCATAAGCTTCTTGAAGGGAGGATTAGTATATTCATCTCTGTGTGCCAGGCCCAAAGGAAGACTTGGTAAGATGTTTTGTGTCATGTGGCAGGTGACATAACTTACATACATCCACGAACAAGATGGCTCTTCTGTGTTAAGAGTGATGAACACATTGGCACGTGTGTATGCATGGCCCAAATCCTGAAGTGGAGAAATGGAGGAAAAGGGATTGTGGCATGACCATGCCCCATTGGGGTACGCTTTCTCCCTCTCCCTCTCTCTGTATCTCTCTGTCTTCCTCAGTTGAGTGCATGTATCCTCTGAATTTAAAAAAAAAACAAAAACAAAAAAGACTGATATAGCTTCTTTCTTTTTAAAAATTCATATTGGTAGTACATTATTTTTAGGTTTTTAATGTGGTGAGTACCACCAGAGACAGAGACAGATTGAGAGAAAGTGAGAAATCCCCCCCCCCCCCGGGGGCATGGCCACACCACAGTTCCTTCTTCTCTATTCTCGGGATTCTGGGCATGCATGCACACACACCCTGTGTATTTTTAGGCCACTGGGTCTGGGACTTGAACCATAGTTGGCCATATGGGAGTCTAGCAGCTCAACCACCATGCCACCTACTGGCTTGGTAGTATATTATTAAGATGAGCTTTAAGTATTATTTAAATTTCTGTTGCAATGAGTCTTATAAAATGCTAGCATACTAAACTTTGACTCTGCAGTCAGCTCACTATAGAGTTAGTCCTTCCACTAACAGCAATTACCTAATGGGTTTGGTCAGTTTTGTAATAGTTTAGGAAGGAGAGACAGTTTTTGCCCTAAACTAAAATTTAAAAAAATTTAAGAATTATTTAACTTATTATTTTAATTTAACCAGAAAAGGACAGAGAGAGAAAGTGAGAAAGCAAGCTGCCAGGGTCCGGGGCTTAAACCATGGTTGGCCATGTGGGAGTCCAGCGCCCTTAACCAGCCCCAACTAAAATGGAATTTTTTACTGAAATCAGTTTGATTTCACTATCATGACTCTAGTTTTCCTTTCCTTTCCTTTCTCTTTCTCTTTTTCTTTTTCTTTTTCTTTTCTTTTTAATTGCTAGAGGGTAGCATGTTTGCTTACCAGAGAGAGAGAGCATCCCCTAGCAGGAAGTCATAACTGTAGTCCTTTTTCCTCCATTTCTCCCTTCTGTCAGGATTTTGGTCTTGCACACACACACACACACACACACACACACACACACCTGACTTCATGTTGCTGGGATTTCATTACATTGGACAGCCTTAAAATGATGGAGTCTTTTGCCTCATAGAACTTGCTTTCACAGAAATATTTGGGTAAAACTTTCTAGTGTCACTTACTGGTAGTACTAACTGACTGGAGAGTAGTCAGGAAGGTCATTCATTATATTTGTCATGAAAGATTAATATACTGATTCCCTGTAATACTTTAATGTTGGCATTTAACTGCTCATAGTTCAGCAGTAATTGGTGAAGAATGGTGGCAGTCCCAGTGGTTTGAGCCATTCCTTTAGTAAAGAGCTCTAGATAAAACATCTGTTTACTCTTCTAGAGAAAGTTATTATCTAATATCATGTTTATAGTCAAGGAGTAATAGTTATGGGGTATTAGTCTTTCCTTTTTAAAATGATTAACCTAAGACATACATAGTGAATTCTGTAGTTGCTTATTACTTGAGAGTCATACCTTTTATCTGAAAACAAAATGAAGCCCCAAAACTCAGATCTTTTTGATAAGATAGTATAAAATCTCCTAGCGTCACTATTAATCTCATGGGGCCAAAGAGGCTATAGACTTTTGGTTATTGTTTTACCACCTCATTTTCCATTTATCTCTCTCTTTTTAAAACTTTGCCAGAAAGACTGTGTGTCCTTGCCAGGGAGAGAGAGAGGAAGAGGGAAAAAGCAACCCCTGAAGGGGATGTGGTCCTTTCATCTCCATTTCTCCATCCTGCATGCTAATGTATGTAGCAGGGGTTTCAAGCTGCTGGGGCCAGGATTCTAACTGCATAGCTGACGATGTGGGGGCCTGTCCCTTAACCACTAGGCCACGGCTCCCTTCCATCTTGTTTTTTTTTTTTTTTTTGGAGAGGTTTTTGCTATAGGGAGCATGTGCTCACCAGACAGAGAGAGAGAGACAGAAAGCAAGAAATCACTCCCCCGGGGGAATGGCCACACCGCAATCCCTTCTCCTCCATTCTCCTCTCAGGATCGTGGGGACACACACATACGCGCCCAGTGTGAGTTTAAGCCACCGGATCTGGGACTCGAACCATGGTTGGCTACATGGGAGTCCAGTGACATAGCCGTTACGTGAACTGCGGTCCTGGCCCTCCATCTTGTTCTTGAATGATACACTTGCTGAAATACCCTTTGCTTCCACTTGTTTGCTAACTCACATCTATCTTTCCAGTTACAGCCTCCTCATCTGAATCGCCACCACCACACACTCAACTCCTCACGTCTTCATCTTTGTATTTTTGGCAGCATAGGCTCCCATCGGACATAGCCCTGATCACCCCGTACTACATATTCTGTTTGCCCGTTTCCCTTTAGACTGTGACAACCTGGAGAGCAAGATTTTTATCTTCTATCACTTTACCTCAGACTGTTCTACACCTAGGATTTCAGTTTATTGTTCTTTAGACTCTAAGCCTAATCCTTTACCCAGACCTGCTTGGAAAATGGTAGGTGCTGAATAAACATTTGCTAATTGAAAAAGAATGTTGCCTTAATCCTAAAACTTTTATACTTTCAGACCCGTAAAAAACAGAAGGAAGATGTGGAAGTTGTAGGAAGCAGTGATGGAGAAGGAGCCATTGGGCTCAGCAGTGACCCCAAGAGCCGGGAACAAATGATTAATGGTCGAATTGGTTATAAACCCCAGCCCAAGCCCAGCAATCGCTCATCTCAATTTGGAAGTTTTGAATTTTAGAGACGGATTATTTCGCATGCCAGAGCCCTGGAATGGAATAAAATGATGGCAGAGGTACAAACCAGATTTAGAGTATCAAGTGCTTATTATGAAGCACAATGTTTAATCTCCTGCAGAGAAAAATATTTCTGCATGAGATTACTCATGCTCAACTTTCGCTCTAAGCTGGAATCCAGACTATGGTTTGTCTCTGGAAAATTTGACTCCAAACAATTATCTGACTTTTGTTTTTAAAAATAAATATATTTTTGGAAAAAATGTGAGACATCCTTAATGAAGTATAATAGCACTTTAAACTCCCAGGCTTTAAAAGGTAATGACTATAAGCAGAAACATCATTCTCCCCATCTTTATTAAAAGAGCCTAGAGGCCCGCTGGTGGTGTGGTGGTTAAGGCAGCTGGATCCCACATGGCTGACTATAGTTTGAGTTCCAGACCTGGCTTGAAATGCATGCCGGGCATATGTGGATGTGTGCCCCCAATCCCAAGAGAACAGAGAAGGGATTAAAGTATAGCCATCCTCCTGGGAGTGATTTCTCACTTTCTCTGTCTCTCTCTGGCAAATGCATGTGTCCTATGCTAAAACTAGGGGGGAAAAAAGTCTAACCATGCATTTCCAGTGACCCCCTCACTTTCATATAACCCATTTATTCAAGAAATATTTACTGAGTGCCAACCAGCAAAGATCTCTACCTTTGTGGAGATGAGATTTTATTAGGTTGTCAGGAAAGTCATGATGCATTTTTTGCATAGACAAACATAGGGAAATACATCATGACTTTCCCTTCAACCTAATAGTAATATTGTGTAAACCTGAACAAGTAGTAGGTGCCAGATCTGTTTATAGATTGAGTTTGGGTACAACTGGGGGGACAGGCAATAAAGGGAAGTAAGAGGAATGCTCTTAACAGTATAGGTTGAGCATCCCTAATCCAAAAAGTTCCAAAATCAGAAACATTTTGAGCATTGACATAAGGCCACAAGTGGAAAATTCAACACAACCTCAAAATACTGGGTTGTTGGAAAAGTCATTTTTGTATAGAAAAAAAAAAACAGAAAAATACATCATGACTTTTCCAACAACCCAGAATTACATAAAATTACATCCAGGCTCTGTTGCATCAGGTGTGTATAAAGCATAAATGCATTTTGTGCTTAGATTTGTCCTATCCCCAAGATATCTTAAGCATATTCAAATATTCCAAATTTTTATTTATTTATTTATTTTTGGAGAGGTTTTTGCTATAGGGCGTGTGTGCTCACCAGAAAGACAAGAGACACGAGAGGCAGAAAGCAAGAAATCACCCCGGGGGGAATGGCCACACTGCGATCCCTTCTCCATTCTTCCCTTGGGATCTTGGGCATACGCACATATACGCCTGGCGTGACTTTAAGCCACTGGGTCCAGGACTTGAACCGCAGTTGACTACATGGGAGTCCAGCAACACAGCCATTATGCCAACTGCTGGTCCCCAAATATTCCAAATATAAAAACATCCAAAATTTGGGACACTTCTGTTCCTAAGCCTTTCAGATGAGGGATGCTCGACGTGTTTTAACCATCATTCCAATTTTGCTTTCTTTCTCAACTTGTCCAAGAATTTTTCCCCATAGGAACCAATCTGAAAGGCAGCTCAGAATATAATTTTGAATCATGCCTTATTGTTTTGCTATAGGGAACCATCAGCTGTAGTAGAAAGAACCTCTGGAACCATCAGTTCTAAAGGATCTTTTAGCTGGATTTTATTCAGCCTTTTTAAGGTAAAGGATCAGTAATAATATGGGAGAGACCTGGAAAGGAACATAAATGGTTTCCCTTATTACATAAATATTGATTCAAAACCCTTTTCTTGGAATTTTTATCTAGGACCTGCAAATGTGTTATCTTACTGTCTTAAAACAAAACAAAACAAAAAACCTTTTTTGAGGCCAGCAGGTGGCGTAATGGTTTAAGGCATTGGACTCCCATGTAGTCAGCTATGGTTTGAGTCCCAGACCTAGCAGCTTAAAACTCATACTAGGTGTGTGTGTGTGCAGAGGCGCTTAACTCTCATAATGTGTGTGTGTGTGTGTGTGTGTGTGTGTGTGTGTGTGTGTGTGTGCATACCTAAAATCCCAGGAGGAGAATGGAAGAGAAGGGATTATGGTGTGGCCATCCCCCCTGAGGGCTGATTTCTTGCTTCCTGTCTGTCTCTCCATAGAGCTCATATGCCCTATAGCAAAAATCTCTCAAAAATAACCTTTTTTTTTATTAAATAAAAAAACTTCAAGTAAGGTTACAGATAGGGAAATCAAGTTAGGTTACCTTGAGGCATTAATGGAAGGGGGGAAAAAGGGAGGGACAACACTGCTTTTCTGCCTTTGTCACTGTGACTTCTGGGCAAGAATAGGCAGTGTGTTTTTCTATTCAAATCAGTGATTTTCTATTCAAATCAGTGTTGCTCCTGATGTCTTCCCCTCCCTGCTAATAGTGAGCCCTCAGAAGGTTTTGCACGAAGGCGTTGTATTGAGGGGGGCAGACTTACTATGGTTTAGGTGCCTATTTTGCAGTGGGTGCCTTACACATACTGCTCCTAATTCAAACAGGTGCTATTATTGCCTTTCTATAATGAAGAAAGTAAGGCTTACGGATTGTTAGAGTAACTTTCCCTAAGGTCACACTGCAAATAAGAGGTGGAGCCAAGAGTCAAACCCATTGACCCAAGTTCATGCTTATCATACTAAAGAAGAGACTAGGAGTGAGGCTGAAAGTTGAGATGCCTATTGGGGCCCATAGGAAGAGCAAGTTAACATTCTGGCATAAGCAAAAGGATAGGTAACATCATGTTAAGCTCAAGGTTTGGCACCAAACTTCCCAGAGGGCCAGCCTAGCCTCTTGGCCTAACAAGTTAAAAATGGGGAAAAGATTAGGATGTGACAAAAATTGGCTTTTTTCTTTTTCTTTTTTAAGGGAGATTTTTGCTGTAGGGCATGTATGCTCACTGGAGAGACAGAGAGGCAGAAGGCGGGAAATCATCCCCCAAGGGGATGGCCATGCCACAATTTCTTCATTTTCCTCTTGGGACTTTGGGCACACATGCACACGTACCCAGCATGAGTTTTAAGCTGCCAGGTCCAGGACTCGAACTGTGGTTGATTACATGGGAGTCCAGCGACAATCATTACACCACCTGCTGATCCCCCAAAATTAGCTTTTAAATTCAGGAATCCCTGGTATACTCAAATGATTGCAGCTTCCTTCAGACCCTGTCTCCTGTGCAAAAAGTCACAGAAATCTGTCATATCCTAACTCACTCTTACTGTCTCTCTTTCTCTCCAGTGAGCACACATACCCTATAGCAAAGAAAAAAATCTTAAAAAACAAAACACACACACACTAACCACTCTTTTTTTTTTGGAGAGGTTTTTGCTTTAGGGCACGTGAACTCTCCAGAAAGAGATAGAAAGTGAGAAATCACCCCCCCCCCCAGGGGGGATGGTCATGTCACAATCCCTTCTCCATTCTCCTTGGGATATTAGGCACGTATGCACACACACCCAGTGTGAATTTAAGCCGAGTCTGGACCTTGAACTGCAGTTGACTACATGGGAGTCCAGCGACATAGCCATTACGCCAACTGCTGGTCCTGACACTAAGTAGGAAAAAAGTGAGATGAAATAAAGGAATCATGATACCTGGAGAGTCAATACCTTGGTCCAGTCTAAGTGGTGCAGTCTGTGACATACTGGGCTACCATCCTGGAGCCACATGGACAGTCATTTGGATTCCCAGGTCAACCTGAAAATACACTGGGTGTAAACACCCTGGGTCCTGAGGAGCTGAAGGGCTGGGGAAGAGGGACTGTGGCACGATGAGACCTCGAGGGTCTGCTCTCCCTTTCCTGTACATGCATGTGCTTTTTAAAAATTTTTTTTATTTTTTGTGATAGGGCACGTGTGCTCACCAGAGACAGAAATCAAGAAATCACTTACCAGCGGGATGGCCATACCATAGTCCCTTCTCTTCCATTCTTCTCTAAGGATCTTGGGCACACACATACATGTGCCTGGCGTGAATTTCAAGCCACCTGGTCTGGGACTCGAACTGTAGTCAACCATGTGGGAGTCCGGCAATGTAACCACTACTCTACCTGCTGGTCCTGCAAGTGCTATTATTAAACAAAGGACTCTGACATCCTAAAAACTGATGGTAACAGCCAGACGCTATGAGAACTAGGAAGCCACTAGCTTACTGATACCACTCTCCGTACAAAAATGCATAGGATCACAAAATCAAAATATTTATTTTGTTCTCTCACACATGGCACTGTTAAAACATTCCTACTACAGCAATACTGCTCTCCAGGAGCTTACAATCTAAAACAGTCAACATTAATTGTAGACTCAGTGATTAAGGCATTATATCAAATGCACACTTTGTATCTTTAGATGTATCTTACTGAAGCAGCTGGAGAGGGCAGGACAAAAATTATATGACATGAAAGTGTACCTGCAGCTCCTTACATGGAACCCCCTGTGACTAGAACTCAAGACCAGTAACCCACAGCCTGAAGGGAATTCCAGATAACCCTACCTTAGAAGTAGTGAAGAAATCCTGATGTCTAATTCCCTGGTAAAGACAGTGAGGATTGTTTGTGGGCAATGGGGGTGCTGAGTGTTCCTTCATCAAAGAGAGATAGCACCTAAATTCTCCAACTCTGGGAAGTGTACTACTGGGTTGTCGGGAAAGTCATGATGCAATTTTGCATAGAAAAATACATCATGACTTCCCTGATGACTAAGAGAGAGCCTTTTACCCAGCCTGAGACAAATTCTAATGGGGCAAGTGCTTCTTGGAACATGCTTATGGTCTCTTAAACGTTTCTGGAAATTGGTGTTTATATACGTGTTAGAAATATCCACTACGTCAGGAGGGTTAGGGAGGTTCAGTAAAAAAATGAAAGAATGAAAAAAAAGAATGAAAGAAAGGGAAAAGGACAGCAGAATAAAAACCTAAACAATAGTTTCCTAATAGATGTGAACAAAGAAGTAGGAAAAGAGGTTTGGATCCAAAAGGAACAAAAAAGTCCATCATCAAGTTCCAACTATCAGGGGTAAGGAACTGACAGTCAATGAGCTCACTTATCACAATCCAAGACTCAAGAAACATGGAATCGGGACCAGCAGTTAGCGTAATGGCTATGTCGCTGGACTCCCATGTAGTCGACCATGGTTAGAGTCCCAGACCTGGTGGCTTAAACTCACACCAGGCGCGTGTGCGTGTGTGCCCAAGATCGCGAGAGGAGAATGGAGGAGAAGGGATTGTGGTGTGGCCATCCCCCCTGGGGGGTGATTTCTTGCTTTCTGTCTCTCTGTTTCTCTCTGCCTTTCTGGCAAGCGCACGCGCCCTATAGCAAAACAAAACAAAACAAACAAACAAAAAATTCTCCAAAGAAAGAAGAAAAAAGAAAGAAGGAATTAAACATTTTTTCTCCTTTATTAGCTTCATTCAGCCTTTGGCAACATAGTGTTAGAAGCTTTGAAATTCAGGTTTTTCAGATTATCTATCCTGTTCCAAGTGGACGTTTCTGAGTTCAAATTCACAGCAGTTTGTCATCACTGGCCTTGATCTTTCTCACCTTACCGATCAGGACCTGTTCCCGGAAGGATACAGCAGCTCAGCCAAGATTTCTAGAGAGCACCACAGTTACTACTGAACATCGATTCTTATTTCTCATGTTGTATTATCTCTGGGCTTCCGAGAAAATGGGTGAGTACGCTGTCAGTACCTGCCACTCACTTCTGCTCGGGCTAAGTGTCAGTACTACAAGGGAATCAAACGAGAAAAAAGCCAATCTCTGAATGTTGGTTCATGGATTTTATAGCTACAATCCAGTAGGCTTATAAGCCCTCTCTTGTTTAAAAGCCATAAAAGTACACATTCCTCTCTCCAATATTGAGCCGGCACCCACAGAGAAAGTACAAGCTGCAAAACCACATCACAAGCCAACAGGAGAGCTGTGTTCTGTCTCCTCTGCCCTGAGGCACAACTGGATCTAGCACCAAGGAGGGCAGGATTTAAAAGACCAGCACAGAAAGAATCACTTTACAGAGGTAGTTTGGACTGGGAAGTAAGACTGGTGTAGACAAACAACTGAACAGAATAAAAATTCAATGTGATTCTTTGTTAAGAAAAGAGGTTTTGGCCACTTGTAGTCTAAGCTCCCAAGAGTAACAAAGATGGCCATGGGAGAAAGATGGTCTGCTCAGTGTAGGTACAGATGTCGGAGGCTGAGGAAAACTCGGCTATCAGCAAACCACACTTGTTTCTCCAAAGAGAAAGCTGGGCTTTTGCCCTTTCAGCCTAGTATTCGCTGATTTCACTGTAGATCAAAGGTCTCTCCCAATCTTCAAAACTACTTCCAAGAAACCACAGATCTTTAAAAACAAGGATTAGTGACTTCATGCCTACTGATTAAATGTATGCTTGGGTAGACATACACACAGTTGGAGCCGAACAAATGTTTGTGGAATGATTAAGTATTGACCAGCAGCATTTACTACGTGAGTTAAGCCCAGACATGCCACCTAGCATTCAGCGCTTCAAATGACCTGCCCATACCACAGAGTCCTCCTTACACAATACTCCCTTAATTTAAAGTAGAGATTCTCAAAGTGTATGATCGTCAGACCATCAGCGGGAACATCAGGTAGGAATTCAGATGCCCGTTTGGGGGCTCTGGGTTGGAGACTCAGCAACTAGTGTCAACAAGCCCGCTAGATGATTCTGATGCATGCTAAAGTCTGAAAATCACTGGATTATAGGCAGACACACAAATACAGGAATAGGGAAAAATTAATTCAAACTCTTGCTTCATTCAGCTTGAGACAAACCAAGGTACTAAATCAAAGTAAAATACCAATGGTTTTATTTTAAAATATCTATTTTTTGAATTGATTGTCATTTTTCTTGTTATTGTTGATTGGCAAGTTCATTCTAATCAAAATGCTGAGTAAAGAATACACACTGCATGCTCTAGGACTCTACGGAGCATCAAAGCACCCCTTGGCACACTGCAACGATTCTGGTGCAACACATCACACCCAGAGAAAGACACGGTGTATTTCCTACTCACTGAGTCCAGAGACTGAAACTTGTTTCCTAACATTAACTTTGAGTTCTAGGTTTAGTTGGGCACGAGTTTCCTTCAGTGTCATCAATCCTGGCTGAAAGTAATTCCTTCCTATTACTGACCAAGGGAACAAAACACCAAATTCACATATTTTCTGTTAAAAAAAAAAAAAAAGACCAGCAGGTTAGAAGAGGAAACAGATGATCTAGTCATTGAATAGAAAGATACCTGGACTAGACAAGAGCATATAACTGCATCTAGGGTGATGGGGAAGAAGACATCTCATGGGTGGCTTCTCCTCAGGAGAAATGGAATCTCGACTAGTTTAGAAAAAATGGTTTGGGAGGTTCTCTCTTTAGTTCAAAGACTGTAAACTAAACCTCTGTTGAGCCGGGGTGTGTGTGTGTGTGTGTGTGTGTGTGTGTAAAGAAACAGGAGCAAGAAAGGATGACTGGAACAGGAGCCATGTCTTCCAGTCTCGAACTGCTTCCCACTGCAACCAGTAAGGCCACACCATGGAGTCTGATGTTAATGGCAGTGCTCTGTGATGTTCACAACTACTGCCTTCTTCCAGCTGAAGAGGAAGTATCCCGTACCGGCCCCAGCTGCGACGGCAATGCAGAGGTACCCATTGTAGGTCATGAAGATGAGCATGAGGAAGTAGCTGATGACCACCTGGATGATATGCAGCACTGTTTGCAGGAGGTGTGGGAAGCTCAGCATCTGCTGCCTGGAAGGTACACAGGGACAAAGCAGTCAGGGATTTCTAGGAGCTCTTGAGATCACAGTCGTAGCCATGCACTCAGCTTGAACTGGACTGCCTCACAACCCCCCTGGAAACTCATGGGTACCTGTGCGAATGGGTACTTGTTCCTTATTGTTACAAACACTGGCCAGATGTGGTTATGTACCAACAAGAGGAATCCTTTCCAGGGGGAATTTAAAGAAGGAAAACTGGTTCCATCTTATTGCCACTTTAGATCCTGGAAGGGAAGCCCTAAACCCTCTCACACTTAATTGTGTGCATGCCCAAGATCCTGAGAGAAGAATGGAGGAGGAGGAATTGCAGCCTCGCCATCCCCTGTGGGGGGTGATTTCTCACTTTCTGTCTCTTTCTCTCTGTCTTTCTGGCGAGCGCACGCGCCCTATAGCAAAAATCTCTCCCCCCCCCACCAAAAAAAAGAAATGCTTTTCGTGGCTGGCAGGTGGCATGTGGTTAAGGGCACTGGACTCCCACATGGCCAATCATGGTTCAAGTCCTAGACCTGGTGGCTTGCTCTCTCACTTTCCATTTCTCTCGCTCTCTCACTCTGTCCCTTTCTGATCAAATTTAAATAAATAAATAAATAAAAATAACAAGTGCTTTTCTGCTTAACTAACCAACTCTTTAGAGATTCCATTTGGGAGCCAGCAAGTGGCATGGTGGTTAAAGGCGCTGGACTCCCACATGGCCAACCACGGTTCAAGTCTCGGACCTGGTGGCTTGCTTTCTCACTTCCTCTCTCTCTCTCTCTCTCTCTGTGTGTGTCTCTCTGATCAAACTGGAAAATAATAATGATAATAATAATAAAGTTAAATAAAATAATTCTTTAAAAAAATAAATTAAAAAAAAAATGAAGAAAAAAAAAATTGAACTTCCATTTGGATCTATTTCATTGTCTTACCCAACAGTTTTATGTGTCTCCATGAGGATGGTTCCATTTGGTCCTGGGACAGGCATGGAATTGTAGCGAATGCTGACTTGTGACTTGCGCAGCAGGCTTTCGCGGGCTATCTTGAGTCCCTCATAGAACATTGCTAGTAAAAACACTGCCACAAAAGCTCCAGCCATTTCTATGTATGAAAGGAAAAGATGGTGGTATTGCTAAACATTTGCAAAATTATTAGCCAAAATGCTGCTCTTCTCAGTTTCTAGATATATTATCTTGTTACCTCAAACTTGCCCAGACAGAGGAACTGCTAAGATGGTGTTGGTACAAACCATGGCTTCTGGTGAAGAACATGATTAAGATATAACAAATAATCTGACAATTACTTTTTGGTCTGGTTGCTTGATGTCGTTAAATTACATTGAAACACATGCTATAGAATATGGAAAAGGTGAATAAGACAACTCAACTTATTTTTATGTTCTGACTAACTTTTCTTGAATAGGCATTTTTAATTCTAAATCTTTCACATTATAAAGTACTGGTAATTATATGAATGTATTCAAGCTACTAATTTAACATACTGTCTGAACTAAATGTTTACCTTCTTTTTCAAAACAAACTGATTTTGTGGATACAAAGATATACCCGGTTAACTACAGTAGTCCAACTGACTGAACTTGTACAATTTGCATTTAAAGCATACCAAGACAACATAGTGGACACAGAGATGTGTCATGAGCTACCATAAAACTAGGAGTGACTGAGCATGGAACATGCCAATTATCAGGAGAAGGTAGCCCGCAGTTTTCCACCTTCTAGGTAGAAGACAGGAACCATGATGTGTTAAGTATCATGACCTTCAGTAACCAGAACAGAAAGAGAGGCTGGGTTTCCAAATTTTTGTCACTGTCTCTCATGAGTCTGTTACCTTCAAACACCACATGGTAGCTTACTCACCTCCAGCTGTATTAATCACTAAACCGGAAAACAATAGTTCCACATTCTTAAAGCCGAAGTAGAAGGTCATAGGCTGCAAAACAAACAAAACAAATCAATTAGAGATGGCTGAAGGTCCTAAATGAGAATTCCAGGCAAAGAAGCTTAGAACATTTAGAAGGAGCAGGTCTGGATGCTAAGTTAAGGAGAAATATTTACTCAAGTGGGATGTTCTCTCTCGTTTTACCAGTACTGCCACAGGCATGAGCATAAGTATTCTTCTGTGCCCTCACATCAACTTTTGGCCTTTTCCCTTTTCTACAGGAAGCATAAAGGACCAGAACTTAATTCAAAAAGGGTTGAATTTGGGGTCAGCAGGTGGTTTGCTGGTTAAGGTGCTGGACTTCCACATGGTTGACTGTGGTTCAAGTCCCGGACCTAGCAGCTTGCTAACTCACTTTCTCTCTGGTGAGTACACATTTCTATAGAAAAATTTAATATAAATAAATAGAAGGTCAGTATCAATGAAGAAAAAAACCGTAGAAATCTTGGTTCTGCTGTGATGCTAATGAGCTTGCTACATGATCCTGGGCAAATCACTTGAATGCTTTGAGTCTTTAGTTTATTCTCTCTTTTTTTTTTGGAGAGATTTTCACTATAGGGCACGTGCGCTCGCCAGATAGAGAGAGACATAGAGACAGAAAGTGAGAAATCACCCCCCAGGGGGGATGGTCACACTGCAATCCCTTCTCCTCCATTCTCCTCTTGGCATCTTGGGCACACACGCACACGCACCCGGTGTGAGTTTAAGCCACCAGATCCGGGACGCGAACCGCGGTCGACTATGTGGGAGTCCAGCGACATAGCCATTACGCCAACAGCTGGTTCCCTTTAGTTTATTCTCCTGAGAAAACTGACTTTTGAAGATAATAACCTTCCGGTACTAAAATTCTGTATTTCTATTATGCAAGTGGGTAGGAAAGTGCCTGAGCTGCCTCTTTGGTGACACTTACCATCATCATCATCATGTCTCCTCCCCCATGGGAGTGTGACATTATTGCGGGTGATGGTGAGAAGGTTGCGTGATAGTGTTGTTGGCCATAGAGCCCATCTCGGTATGCCTGGAGTGATCCGTTTTCCCAGGAAAAGTTGACAGTCAGCAGAAGAGTCTAAGAAACAGAATGGTATAAAATAACTTAAGTACATGAAACCTTATTTCTTGGTAAATACTCTGCCTGTATAGAATTTCATCCAGTGAACAAGTGCTCTCCTAGCAGCTATCTTTACTCAGAATCATTTTTCATAATCTACAGATGGAGAGAACTTATACTAATAGAACCTCCTTTAGAGACTTGACCTAGGGCTTCAGACACGTAACCCTTCCTAATTCTCCTTTAATAGACATGCTTAATACACGTTCAAATTAAAATGAGACCTGGAGAAGAACAGTAGCTTCTTTTGAGTGCAGGAAACAGATCATCTGTAGTAATGTATAAATGGATGCCATTAATGAAATTTAACTGCTCTTAAGGGCTTTAATCATAAATGTCAGTAGATAAAAAGCAAGTGTTTCAGCTCACTCACCTAATTGGGATGGCCTGTGTTTACAGAACGGCCAGCCTTCAGCTAGCTTAAATTTGAAGAAAGGTCTAGAGCTGCCCTAGGCAAGCAGTGTACTTAAAATTTAGATGTAACGTCAGTCTTACCAGGACATTAGAGTTAAGAACATGAAAAACAAGGTCTAAATTGGATAGTTTATATTACATTATGTCTAGACAACGGCATATTCAGCTTTGTATCTCTACTATCGTATCACTGCTTTCCTGCAGAAGTCCCTCTAGACTTTAAACCAAGCAGCAGTCGCTGGATTTGGGGTGGGGATAAGAGAAGTTGGGATCTGGAGGGGAGGTCTGAGTGGCCCTCTTTATGTGTCCCTCAACCCATTTGAGGAAGAGAGAATGGCTTTAGAAATTTCATGAGGTATTCATGTTCATAAGCCAGAGTATGCTTCTCATTATTTATTCTATCGATATTATCAAAACCACAAATACTGAGGCATCTATTTTCCATCGTCAACTCCTACTCCATGATTCTATGACAAGGCTCACTAGGTTCTGTTGACAGTTTTCCTTTTTCTTATTTAGACCGAATTGCTGTGTATCTTTGTAGGAGTACATTATGTTTTTTCAGAATAGGTTCTTATTTCTAGTGAAGGCTGTGGCAAAGCCTCAGGCATAATCAAAGTTCTTACTTAGAAAAAAAACCACAACAAAGTTCTTACTTTGAATTTACATAACTTTCATGCCAGACATCACATTAATTCATAAGTACAGACCTTGACAACCTGGTGTTATTAATGTCATTGTTGGGCCAGGAGGTGGTATGGAAGTTGGGATGTTGGACTCCCATGTGGCCAACCATGGTGCAAGTCCCAGACCTAGTGGCTTGCTTTCTCACTTCTCTCTCTCTCTAGTGAGCACATGCACCCTATAGCAAATCAATAATGATAATAAATAAGGGACCAGTAGTTGGCATAATGGTTATGTCACTGGACTCCCACATAGTTGACCACAGTTCAAGTCCTGGACGAGGTAGCTGCAAACTCACTCTGGATATTTGTGCATAAGTGCCCAAAATCCTGACAAGAGGATGGAGAAAAATGGATTGTGGTGTGGCCATCCCCCCTGGGAGTGTTTTCCTGCTTTCTGCTTCTCTGGTGAGTGCACGTGCCCTACAGCAAAACTCTCTCTAAAAAATAAATAAATAAATAAATAAATCATTGTTATACAGCAATTGGAAGTACAAAAAGGTATGTAACAGGTCTTTGTCCACAAAGATTTTTGCAGTAACCATTAAAAAGTAGAGTCATAAAAAAGTGTCAATGATGGGACAAATGGTAAGTGGAAAACTTACACATAAAGAAATAATTATAGTGGGATGAGGAGATCACTGGTATGTAAGTGATCATAAATTTTTTTCTTAAGTTTGCTATAGGGCACCTGTGCATGCCAGAGAGAGGCACAGAGTGGGAGAAAGTAAGAAATCACTCCCCAGGGGGATGGCTATGAGGCAATCCTCTCTTCTCCATTCTCCTCTAGGGATTTTGGGTACACGTGTATGCACACACGCACGCACACGTTGGTGTGATTTTCAAGCCATGAGGTCTGGGACTTGACCCCAAAATTGGCCATGTGGTGACCCTGCCTCCACGCCATCTTCTGGCCCCATCAATTATGATTACAAACAAATCCAAGTAAATCAAATGAGGTAAGAATGAAATACCTTTGTCAGCCCGAAAGACTGAACACACACACTCAGGTGGATATCACAAATTTTGTTCTCTTCCAATAGAGCCTGAAAAATGAACACAGAAGAAAATCATAAAGGTAGACTGCATTTTTAACTGAATACCGGCCATGAAGTGGCAGTGAATATTTGCTGAGGTCCTTCTGTTGTAAAAGACTGTAGGAGAGGGACCAGCAGTTAGCGCAATGGCTGTGTTGCTGGACTCCCATGTAGTTGACCGTGGTTCGAGTCCTGGACTTGGTGGCTTAAACTCACGCCGGGCGCGTGTGCGTACATGCCCAAAATCCCAAGAGGAAAATGGAGGAGAAAGGACTGCAGTGTGGCCATACCCCCTGGGGGGTGATTTCTCGCTTTCTGTCTCTCTGTCTTTCCAGTGAGAGTACGTGCCCTATAGCAAAAACCTCTCAAAATAAAAAAAGACTGCAGGAGATAGAGAAATGAACCAGATAGTCCTTCCTCAAGAAACTTTAAGCTAAAAGCTGGAAAGGAAAACTGAATAGTTGTAATTTGTATTTTGGTACATAAGATGACATGTAAAGGACTGTTTAAAAAGCCAGAACAGCACCACAAACTACTTAGGGGTTGTCCCCTTGATCTGCTATTCCTGTTAATAATTTTAAAAGGCCCACACGTTCTTTTTAATTTTCTAAAAGATTTTATTTTATTTATTTATTTTAATTTGACCAGAGAGGGACTGAGAGAGAGAATGAGGGAAAGTGAGAAAGCAAGTTGCCAGGTCTGGGACTTGAACTGCAGTCAGCCATGTGGGAGTCCAGCACCCTTAACCACCATGCCACCTGCCGGCCCCAGCCCACGGGTTCCTAATTATTAAAGACATTTGTTACCAACTAGAGAAATCTGTTCAATGGCAATATATCATCAGATCTTTTCAGATTTATCAGCACCCTAGGAATTCATATCTCAAGAAAACTTTTCAGATTATGTACCTATTTTGAAGTGTCACCTGTGCAGGAAACAATTCACACTCATACATACTAGGGTATATAGCAAGGCTGGAATCACCTTGCTTTCGCTGTCAGTGGACAATGCATCCCTTTTAATGGAATCCTATCCAGCAGTTATCCAGTGTAGATGAAGGTACAAATCTAGTACAAATTAACATAAAACCAATCCTGTAAGTCTCATACTCACGAAACGTTTTACTCTAGGAAAAATCTCTAGAAATATGCCGAACCCAAATGACAGCCAAATAAAGCAACACTTACAAATGATTAAAGCCAGAGGCCAGCAGGTGACACGGTGGTTAAGGTGCTGGATTCCCACATGGTTGACTGCAATTCGAGTTCTACACCAGGCAGCTTGAAAATCATGACAAACAAATGAATGAATGAATGAATGAATGTTTAAGAACGAAATTATTAAATCCTAGTAAATGAAAGTAATTATAATTTTTTGTCTTCCCATTCAGCATTTTGGTGATGTGTCATATACTGGGGTAAATCATTTTAATAGGTATACGGGCACTGGGTAGTTTTAGCGTTTTCTTTGATAGCTTTCATCGAAGATGACCAAGGCCCAACTTCTTCCACAATAAAAATGGAGACTAAGGTCAAGTCAGGGACACCTGATACCATTTGCGCTCTCAGTATGTACTCAGGAGAATGGACTAACCTCATGGTAATAAAGAGCTGCACTACTCTTCTGACTTCAGCTTATTCAAGTTCCCAATTCCACAGCCAAGGTTGGCTACTTACTCTCTAAGAATTGTTTTCCCTCATTTAGCACTACCTTTACTGTCTAAGAATTGGGTTCAAGGTTCACAATGTGGCTGGACTGTACTTTTATGGAATCAAAGTTCTTGATTTGTGCAGCGATCATAGTGGAACTTGTGGACAAGTTAGTAATGAGTGATAGGTGGAATCTTAGCACAATCTTTGTAAAGTGGCCTTCATCAGCTTGCAAGGTTCCCAGTTTTAGGACCATCTATGCGCATGCTTGTTCCAGGCTAAAATGTATTTATTCCTGTCTGTTCTGGTTCTTGTTTTAAGCCTCTGACATCACCTTTCTTTTTTACACTACCCTATTACTTCATCATATTTACAAATTATTTGCAAATAAAGAAAAACAGACAAAAAAATCTGAATATATAACTCAGGGATGGAACTGAAAAATAACAGAAAAACCTTAAAATTCCAAACTTCGATCTGTGATAAAATACACCTACAGTATTTCATTTGCCAAGCTGACTTTATAACTAGATTGGAAGATTAAAAACACTGTACTTTCATTTGTGTTTTTGCCAATTCAGGTAAAGAACTTCTTAAAAAGGATTATTTATTCAATTTTATTTATTCTTAATCTTATTTTTAAAAATTTGCTACAGGGCACACGCACTCACAGAGCAAGAGAGAGAAAAAGTGAGAAAGCAAGCCACCAGGTTCAGGACTTGAACCTCAGTTGGCCACGTGGGAGTCAAGCAGGGCACCTGGTAGTTATTATTATGAGAAATATTAGGGGAAAAAAAGACCTTGCATAGGGAAAACCCAATGAGTCAACTTTGTCGGGCAAGGCAAAAATTAAAATACCACCTTTCTGGGGGCTAGCAGGTAGTGTAGTGGTTAAGGTTCTGGACTACCACACGGTTGATCACAGTTCAAGTCCTAGAACCAATGGCTTGAAAATCACGCCAGGTGCATGTGTGTGCATGCCCAAAATCACAGAAGGAAAATAGTAAAAAAGGGATTGTGGCATGGCCATTTCTCCTTGTGGGGTGATTTTACTCTTTCTTTCTCACTGTCTCTGTCTTGTCTAGTGAGTGCATGTACCCTATGGCAAGAACTTTTTTTTTTTTTTTTAAATACCTTTCTGTTAGCTTCTTCCCTACAAAATATTCTAGCCAAAACCCACTTTCAAGTCACTTGCTGCCTATTCTGCTTCCTGAGACCATGAAGTAGTTAGGGCTAGTTCTTAAGAACCACAGAAGTTTATATGGAACATAGTTCATATAAAAATAAGGAAAGAGGTTTATTTATCACTATTCATTTTCCAGGAAACATTTATCTTATCTTTGGTGAGTTCCTGAAGTAGGCTATATGCCAACTGACTTGTATTGAGCTGAATACCATTAGATATGGAAATTGCATACTCTACACTGACTGTCATATAGCTGTGTTTCCTTCTGCTTCTTCCTTTCTTTCCTTTAATAAGTATGGTAAAGTATTTATGCAAATAACTTTCAAAACTTCCCTGTATTCAAAAGTCTAATTCTTTTGACCTACTTAAGGATTAAAAAAAAAAAAAAGTTTCCCCTATTCCTCCCCTGATACTCCCAACATAGACATATCATAAAGCCTAACTAAAGGCCAGATTCTTTACAAAACCTATTATCTTTACAAAATAAACATGAATTTATGGACAGAGGTTAGGAAATTAGCAAGAAGGCTAAATTCAGATGCCCATTCTGGATCTTAGCACTGACCTTATTTTTAATAGGTTTAGCCTAAACTTCAAATTCTACTTTCCTGATATTGCAATAATGATGGATAAGAACAACAATCCATAGGAACTATGGAGACAGATTATCTAAAAAGACCACACAGAAGTGGCCATAAGCCAGGAGCAGCAGTGGCATGTTGGTGGAAGCACTGGACACTCCCACGTGGCTGACCATGGTTCAAGTCCCAGACCTGGTGGTTTGCTTTCTCACTTCCTCTCTCTCTCTCTCTGTGTCTCTCTATGGCCAAATGTAAATAAATGAATGAATAAATAAAATTAAATAATTATTTGAAAAAAAGAAGTGGCCATAAATCAGCCTTCTCCTCTGGGGCAGGCAGATGTAATCTGGACCCTCAACCAGTTATTCTGAAGTTGTCTTCTGACCTTCCTGAGTTCCATGATAAGGAAGAAGGTTTTTATTCTTAAAACGATTAGGGTCATGTTCCTTTTTAGACTTGTAAAAACATTAAACAAAGAGAATTCGATCTAGTTGTTCTTCTGATTTTTTTTAAGAGAAGAGGAATACAGATTTGTTCTAAAGTATATGGGAGTCATGCAAACTTTAGTTCAGGGAAGAGCCTGGTGACAGAAGGTATTAAAGGTGTAGCTTAGAGTTAGGCTATAGTGAGGGAAGAAAATGCAAATATGCAAAGATTATCCTGTTTTTCTGGGACAGGTATCAGACCTTGAACGTCCTTTCTGGGCCTAGAGGGCTAAGCAGCAGTTTGGCTGCTTAGTTTGCTGATTAAACATATGTACTTTTCTTTTATAAAAAGTCAGCTTTTCTAGTTGCCCCTGTGCTTTCTGCAGGCATTACTTACATCTGGTGATTTATAAGCTTTTAGCAAGCACAGAAATGTAAAGCTGAAGGTCACAGATTACTATAAACAGAGATTCACACTTATGGGCGATGTACACGTGATCACACAGCCAGCTTAACTGCGTGAATACTGCTTTTTTTTTTTTTTCAAGAGAGAGTTTTACTACAGGGTGCATGTATTTGCCAGAGAGACAGAGAGCAAGAGAAAGTCAGAAATAACCCCCCAGGGGAGATAGCCACACCGCAATACCTTATCCTTCATTCTCCTCTTGGGATTTTGGGCATGCAAGCATATGTGCTTGGCATGAGTTTCAAGCCTCCAGGTCTGAGACTCGAACTGCAGTAGGCATGTGGGAATAGAGCACCTCAACTACTATGTCACCTGCTGGCCCAATGCAAAAAACTTTACCAATTTTTTCTATCTTTACCATATAACAAAATGAGCTCAGGCCAGTAGGTGGTGTGATGGTTAAGGTGCTGGAATCCCACGTGACCAACTGCAGTTCAAATGTCAGACCCGGTGGCTTGCTTTCTCCCTTCCTCTTTTTCTCAGGTGGGCACATGTGCCCCATAGCAAATTTAAATAATAATTAAAATAAATTTAATAAAGTGTTTAAAAAAATGAGCTCTACTACTTCAGATAATCTGCACAGGGTTCCCTGAAAGTACTTTTCATGGAGAAGAAACCAAGCCAGGTTCAATCTACATACTCAAGTATCAGCAGAATTTAAGTGGCTGAATTACTCATACATCAGACTAAAGGGCTGCATCA